CACACAGAGCTGTCCCCCACACCTTGCTTGCTGTTGGCATTGTGGCTGTGCAGTCCTGGCACCATAGCTGCCAGAAGCTGGGCCCGCACAGGACAGGGTGCAGTTGTGCTGAGTAGTCAGACCACTTACCCACCCACCTTGATGAGCTGCTGCCATTGCAGTGCCACTAGGAGATGAATCCATGCCAGTCATGGGGGTGCTCAGACCAGGGCAGCTACCCCTGACTTTTCTGATGTAGCATGGCGGCAGCACCTCATAGCAGTGGGTGGGCTGGTGGGACAGCTACTCGGTGCACTGCACTGTGCCCTGTCTCATGTTGGCCCAGCTGCCAGCAGCCGCAGTGCCATGACTGCACAGCACCAACAGGAAGTCAGGTGGGAGGGAAGAGAAGGAATGGGAACAACATTGAGGGACACATCTGGGTAAACAGGGAAAGTAAGGCAGGTGCTCCCAAGACTTGAGGGGCTCAGTCCTGCCCAGGAATTGTCAGGGTGTGCAGGACCAGACCCCTCAAGCCTGCAGAGCCCCTGCCCTGGGGCAGCTGAAAAACACGGGCTGCAATAAAGGGACCCAATGTATTACTAGTTTCTGTCATGGCCACAAATTTGAGCATTGGGAATGTGACGGAAGAGATGAAAGCAAACAGGCATCCACTTTGTGCTGCCATAAAAAAATTGATGGTGGCATGAAGTTGATGTCTGTTTCCATCCCAAGGGGACAGAGGTGCAGCCGCATCTCTAAAGAGTACAAGTTCAGCAAGCCCTTTATGCTTCCTATGGGCTAGCTCCCAGTGGCTCCTCACTCGGCATGCAACATTTTTGAATCGCTCTGAGGGTCCCATCACTCCCTATGTAGTGCAGAGGGGAGGCTAGATATACTTTGTAGTCCCCACTCTTGGGGGGTCAGACATCTAAAAATATGGTGGTATGGTGTGTAATTTTGAGTCCTTCTTTGGAGCTGGCCCTCTTCTTCACCTCTTTTGGAATTATATATCTTCTAGCAACTTGAGTAAACCTAATTATAGCTACACAAAGCTGTTAACTGCATTGCAAAGGAAAAAAAATACAGATTGTTTCACTAATTGCATCTTTTGTTTGTTTTTTAAATAAATTTCAAAATCAAGGGCCAAAACTTATCAAGGAGCTTTCAAAAAGAAAGGACCCAGGCCAGCAAGGGCAGAGCCTTCTTAATTCTCACAGGGGGTCGAGAATGCTTAGGATCTTAAAGGATCGGGCCAAAAGTGATAAGCATTATCATTTTCTAAGGGTGAAATCCCATTGCTCTGAGGTCAATAAAAATTTTTCTTAATGACCTCAACACGGAAAGGATTTTACCTAAATATCATTTAACCCTACAATTTGTTTAATGCTGAGAAAATGCTAATACTGTGGAAGGTGTCATGTTTTGTAGCACTTGAAAATTGCTGAATTGTTCTCTAGTATGTCCTCCTGATCTCACACCCTGCCTTGTCACCAAGTTTCCACAAAGGTCTAAATTTTACACTACATAATGAATGCAGTTTAATGTAATCCCTAAAGTAGCCCTTTATAACTTAGTCAGCTATATCTTAATTATCAAATAATAATCTTCATTACAAAATGAATCTTGTAATTACTAGTATTTTCTTTTGCAACCCCCCATATTTAACCTTCCAGGGTTATTCTTATGAATTATGGCATGTGCTTATTATTGCAATACATATACACTAAAATATGGGACTTTTAGATTTTGAATGGTACTTAGAGAAAAAATGTTTTCTTTACACTCTCTGTATAGCAAAGCATTGTAAAAATGCTCTCATCAACAAAAGCATTTAACTTGCCAAAATGTAAATCTCTTACAGACATTCATTTTTAAATACATTAGCTAGAAACATTTTAAAAAAAAACTGAGTGTGAACTGAAATTTGTTTAGTTGCACAAACTAAAAAACAAGCCTGGACCAAATAACTCAACCTATTGTTCTTTCAATACCAGTTCTGTCTGGCTATAAATCTAGACCACACCAAACCCTTCTGTCTTTGTTTCAGCCACATTTTCACACCCTTGTCAACCCCTCACCCTTTTCCCTAATTATCATCTGACTCCCTGAGAACATTGAGCTTTACAATTTACCTCCATGAGTCAAAAGAAACTGTGTCACTGAAAATTTAGGAACGGTTGCAGGATATGAACCACTACACAGGGTCACAAACAGAAAGCAACACTAAAAAATGCCAGAAGTTCTTCAACCTTCTGATAGAGGCATGGGGATACCACCCCATATTTTATTCTGCTTATCAACATGAACTTTAACAAAAAACAACCCTCATCTTTACAAAGCAGAAGCCTCTGGTTTCATTAAGATGCCTTTGTTGTGCCTGAGATGAAGTGCTTAATAACGCATTAGGTAACACAGTAACAGGCTTCACTTTATTCCACCCGAAGAGTGTAAGTCCTTGGTGGCTGAAGGCAGTTTACCGACTCTCCCTAACCCAGCTCAACTTCAGGAAAAGCCTTCGCTAACCGACTCAGGCAGTTTTCTGACGGGTGACAAGGCCTGCCAGAAACACTTCATCAACCCACCACCAAAAAGCCTGTCCCACGGGCTGCTCGCTGGACAGCAGCGACAGGCGCAGCCCGGCCGGGGGGAAGGCGCGGGAGGACAAAAGCGGGGCCCGGCCACCTGCGAGCGAGGCGTTGGCCCGGCCCGGCCGCAAGGTGCTCGCTTCGCTTCTCCTTAGAAAGCGGCGAAGACACTTCCCCAGCCGGGCGCCAGCCAGGCTTGGCAGCGGCTTCACTCCTCAGCGCTCCCGGGAGCCAGGTCACAGCCACGAGGCTCGGGGGGCAGCGAGGACGCCGGGCCCGCCGCCCGGGAGA